TACCTATATAAAACATGTCTGTCGAAGTTTTTTTTTTCAAAATACCAAACAGATCATGCATTTTAGCCATGCCTCATTTCGCTCTATTTGCTCTTTTTTAGCCCTGTTTTTGCATGGGCTGAATCTGAGAAGTCTTCTTCGCTGCTTTTGTGGCAGACTACAGCGCCACTTACAGGCCTGGCATATGTACTACAGCGTCTCCAGCGCTTTCGAACGGCAATGGCCGTGGCTGTCTCCTCCTGATAGGTGGAGGGTTGCCCATATAAGCGGAGCTCCTCGTTTCTGACGTCAGAGAATTTTCAAATCTGTATCAGTCTGTTACGTCCCCAGCTCGTTTAGGGTAAAAGGGAAGCAACACAAAACCAGATGTTCTTGGTAAGAGGTTGATTTTAATAATAAACTCAAATAAAAATGATATAAACAAAAGTATAGGTTCTTGAAATAGGAGCTATCTATTTATGATATAAGAAAACAAAAGAAGGCCACAGATTATCACAATCACAGAACAATATGGGCACTAAGGCAGAAATAATGAGGCGTCTAGCACAAATTCAACGCCGTCATAAGTCTCAGAATGTACACAAACATTTGGAGAGTTGAGTAGCGAGGCGTCCTGGCACAAATCCAGCGCCCCGAATGACAGCAGCGTCGCAGCTTAAATAGCGTCATCCCGCGTCTTCCAACGTCGTCCAGACCTCTTCCGGTGGGAGGAACTAAACAACGTCACACCGACGCGGTAACCATAGTACCTAAAGGCAGTCATATACACACACACACACACACACACACACATATATACACACACAGAATGCTCACAGGCCGGTTAATGCAGAAGGCAAGGCGACAGCCGTCACACAGTCTCAGATCCGTCACAGCCCCGTTTTTAGAGATTTGGGTATGGAGGAAAAGAGAGAGGGTTGTGTTTTCTGACACTTGGTGAGTTCCCTGACACACCGGGGACAAATATATTCATGTATAAAAGACGTACAAAAGTGCATTTTGCATGATAGGTCCCCTTTAAGATATATGACAAACATATCTATTTAAAATTAAACCATGACCTTGAACAAGTCATCTTGTTGCCTAAAACAAGTAGCTTTGTTGTAAATGTTAACATGTTTAAAACTGCAATTATTACACTTTCAATGTTGTTGGAAGGTACAATTTGGCCTATCTTTTCTTTTAGAAAGTCAGTGATAACCACTGATAACGTCCATTTAATGGACTAATTCCAACATTTGAATGGATGCCTGCAGAGAACCTATGGGTTGTTTCGGTTACTTTTATGAGTTAAATTATGCAATGTGCTGCAGCAAGCTAAAAGTTCATATTTCCTCTTATTTCTTGTTTATTTAATGCCAGTGCTTAAATGGGGCTCGCATTCACTACTTCGGTGATTCTACTAATGGCAGGTCACATCGGTAAATTGCATTTGTTTTTGCATTGGTACATCATTTATTCAACTCACTTTCTTTGAATACTGTATGCACTAAGAAAAATATAGAGTGAGATATACATATTATTACATGGCATAGCTGAGTTCAGAAAGGGATAGCTGGGATACCTTGAAATACAAAGGCGTTGCTGTTGAACTGTTTCACCTTGAAATGTAGATTTAAAAAAGAAAAATAGATTTAAAAAAGTGAAGCCATCCTCTTCGATCACAGCTAAAAGGAAAAGAGCTTACACAGGAAATATTATGCTCATTTTCAGGTTCATAATTGTATTTTGTGCCTCTACTTTGACATTTCTACGAGCTTTAATGTTCAAAAGCTCTTTATTTTTCTCATACTAACTGCCTGTGCTGCAGCACCTCTTTTCACCCTCTGTCTGAAACCAGAGACCAGTCTGCTCTGATTGGTTAGCTGGCCTGCTCTGTTATGATTGGTCAACCACTTAGGTTAAGGGGCGTGACATCTCTATCACATACAATGTGTTGTAGCACTAGCCAATAGGAGTGTAGGAGTTACATAGTGATGTCACTATGTCGCTGAAATAATCAAAGGAGTCAAATGGAGGCGTTTCAGGCAGGCAGGTGGTGGGAACTTTGGGACTTTAGCCTTTGCAGACCATTCACATGCACACAAAATGATATTTTACACTACAGGCAGTGGCGTTTTTAGATGTACAAAACTGGTGGGGCACGAACAACTAAGATATGCATATATAGGCTTCTTGTGCTTTTTTAACACATCAACAAATAGCTGTAGGCTATCCATGGTTCCGAGGCAACAGTGAGCTCATCGTCACATACAAAAAGAGAGAGAGGGGTGTGAGAGAGAGAGAGATAGAGAGAGGGGTGTGTGTGATTGTGTGAGAGAGAGGGGAGCAACACATTACAACTATCGGAAGCAGTGAATTAACAACACAGAGCAACACTGTCAGCGCGTACATTTATGCACACAGCGTGGTGAGGTGATATTGTAATGTACCTCAAATATATGTACCTTAATACATGAAGTAAAGGATGCTATCACAAAGCAATACTTAATAACAACCGTAATACTTCAGCATGAAAAGGAAAACACTGACACTCGCCACCGTGGTTACAATATCAATCAATCCAGCAGAGCAATAGCCTAGAGGCAAAACACAGAAGATCAACAAAAGATATGACATAAAATGAACTTACCAAAGCTGGTTCATTCATTTTCTTTCCGTTTTACAGATTGTAATCGCTGGTGATGTGAGCTATACGCTGCTCTCTCNGTGTTGCATGGTGATTAGGGGAGGATCGGCGTTTGTACAGCATGCTTTGGTGTACCTGTCACTTACTGCCCCGTCTGCCCTCAGGCCTTTGCTTACCACCGTGCTGCGCAGAAATGAGGCCCGCTTGGTGCAGTGTCCCACATGTCTTACTTACAGGCTGAATACTTTAGATTAGAATAAGGAGTGGCAGTTTAGGAACTTATGAGATTTTCTTTTCTTTATGCATATTTGATCAGATTTTGATTGAAATCATTTAGCTAATTCGCGGGTGGGTTTTTTTTCTTTCAAAAGGTATTTGCAAAAAGGCATACGTTTTTGTAATTGTTGTTTAATTGTTGTTAAACATTTTGACTTTTTCTTAACGAGTAGGGAGGATAACACTAAGTTAGCGGCTAATAACAATCAAAGTTGTCCCTGCTATTCGAAAGGTATTTCACCTATTCATTAATATTTCAGTACATTTGTTCAGACTAACTATGAAATGCTGATTAACTTGTTTGTTCTTTGAATAAATGAACCAAACTATTTTACGATTCTACATGATAGATTGTTCTTTACCATTTTTTTAAAAGACTGAGACTACCGGCTCGCCCTCTTGGAAAAATGTCCCATATATTATATTTAAAGTATATTGCTTCTTAGGAGCAGAACTTTAAAAAACAGAGATTAACAAATAAAAACTTGCTTGTTTTTGATATTTAGGTGAGTGCCTTCAGATAAATCCCTTCATCCTTTAGTCGGCCTGTGCTGGGAAATCCCAGGCCCCAAAAATAACCTTCAATAACTCCTCTCCCATTTACAATATCTTCTTCAAACAAGGCAAATGCGGTTATGAACTTTTAAATAATATATTTAGTCATATGACTTTTTTTGTTGATGACACACCCGCTTAACACATAAGGCACTACACAATGTTCTGCATGTGTTAACTCTTATGTACATCCAAGCAACAGAAGTACACATCTGCGATACATTTGTTTAGGTTAAAGCAGCATATTTACTCTCTGCGACGTTTCCACAGCCAGTGTCTTAGTCAATCATGAGTGCGTGTATCCTGGGAGAAAACTGACTGCCCAGGCAAACCTGTAAAATAAGCACACCCGTTTGAAATATGTGTAACAGATGTAATGTGGTCGGTTATTGTTCTGGTCACGCGAGGGGTGTCTGTTATCTTGACCGCGCTGTTGCTTAGTGCTGCTTCAAGCATCAGGATACCAGTTTTTTCCCTGGGAGGATGGCTGCTCTAAAATCAGTGTGGGAGAAGCAGAGAGCCCAGTAGGTAGAAAATCTCAGCTCAAGTATGAGAAATATCAAGGCTCTCTGAACATTCATATGGCAGACTATGACACCAGTACGACCAGAGCATGCGAACATACGACTGAACTATATTCACTGACTGCTCATCATCCAAACTCTTCCTGCAACTTTTAAATCTAGGGTAGATGGAGTTGTTTTGTGATGTTGCCATGTGTGGAAGCTAAGATGCCAAGATAAGTGCCGTGGTGGATCAGATTTTCCAGAGGAGAGCAGTATCATCGTTCAGGATCCATAATTTGTATGTTGTGCCTCTACTGTGACATGTCTCCATGCTTTAATGTTCAAAAAGCTCTTTATTTTTCTCATACTGCCTGTGCTGCAGCACCTCATTTCACCCTCTGTCTGAAACCAGAGCCCAGTCTGCTCTGATTGGTTAGCTGGCCTGCTCTGTTATGATTGGTCAGCAGCTTAGACATGATTCGCCCCTTAGCCTGTACAATGTGTAGGAGCGCTTGCCAATAGAAGCCAGAGTGTTACATTGTGATGTCACTATGTTCAGAAGAAAACAAATGAGTACAATGGAGGCGTTTCAGGCCGGGGGGAGTGAGAGAAACTGTCTCTGGGGGGAACTTTGGGATTTGAGCCTTTGCAGACCATTTACATGCACACAAACCGATACAACACACTACATGAAGGGATCCCAAAGCACCAAAAAGCACAACAAGGCTCCTCCAAATCCAAAGTTAAAACCTTATAAAGCTCAAGAGAAGAGACATTCTCTCAACAGTCCTCCCCCACTGGAGCCATCCTGTTACTTCCAACATTGCTGGATAAGGCAAAACATGGTCCATACGGCTCTGACAAGTAGGTCAGAGGTCAGATAAAGGATCCCCTCCCCCCCCCCTCCCACAGCAGACTGATAAGTCTACAGGAGAAGCTAGTAAACAGACCTCTGTCCTTTCCACCACCCTCTGCCTCATTGCTTATGTAGAAACACTAATCCACAGGCATGTTAGTGTGGAGGAAATCTCATGTAAAATGCATGGTTAGGCTGAAGGTGGAAATAAGTCACTGATTAACATGTTGATGTTGATAGTAATGAGAGGAGTGACACATGTTCACTGACTCATGCACACGGACGCCGGACTGCAGGGCTTTGCGTCATTTAGCTACAAGAGTTACGTCTAGTTTAACACACACCGTTAGGAAAATAATACACTCATAATAATCAATGTGATATCAATATTAGATATACTCCTTGCAGTTGTAGCTAATGACTTGTGTTGAGGTTTAATCAGTGGGGACATTTCCAGCAGCAGCTCCTCTCTAGTCTGACGTGAAATTACCAAAGCGCCATTCTTCACCTCTGTGCCATTTATCACACTGATGTTCAATGACTGAGTCTGTGCTCTTTTGTCCACAGTGTAAACACATTCTGGCTGTGTACCTGTGTCAGGCCATGGCTGTGACTCAGCAGGAGAGCGTGTCTGATCCGCAGATGTCCGCACTGTTGAGTGGGACAGCCCCTCTGTGACCCCCAGGTATGTTCAGTACTACCCCTAAAGAAAGATGTTCTCAACCTACACTTTGGGTCTCTGCAGAGGATCGGAGGACGGGAACACAACTGCAGTTTATACTCTTTAATTTGTCTCTCTGTAAGACACCGGATATTTCATTTTTTTTAAAGAGTTTCTTCATCTGTTTCTCTGGAAAAAAAAAAACCTGAAAAATGTAATTTGTAAATATAAATCGTATACATTTTAGTAATAAAAACTCACCTTTAACAATATAAACATTGCCTTTATTAACAAAATAATTCACCATACATACAGATTGCATTATGTTAAATAGCGGTATCAGTTGTAGTTTAGTTGGATGAAAGGGAGAAGGCTTGACCACAGTGGATGCTTCCTGATTAGTAACGACACTACAGCACACTGACAGGAACTCGGGAATGAAAGGCAGGAATGTTGAATTAGATCAACTCGGTTTTGTCTGTCTCACATTTAGAATCACAAAAGAAGGCAATAGTTTGACATCAATCAATAGCTCGTAGAAAGCCGGACACCTACAGTACTTATTGTTTACACAACAACGACAGTAATACAACGTTACAGTGCAGTTACAGTATAGATGTCTCCATTGGAATGCACTTACACTTTAGCACACTCCTGTTTTTAGCCCTTGAAGTTAGTGAGAGGTGGTACACTGGACATGTGGGGGGGTGTAGTGAAGCAGTGAAGTCAACACCAACGCAACATGGTTCAACAGCACCCATGAAGCACACCAAATGAGAAATACGTCAGTGAAAATGTCAGTGCAATGTGTTTTTTCATTTGTGTAGTGATGGCTCTCAGGTGACTAAGTTCACCCTTTTTTTCTGTCACATTACAAATTCACAAAACTCTGCTGTGCTCTGATTAAATTCACCAAGACCTTTCTGGGTGATTCATCAGCTCTCGGCTCTGTCTCATAAGCTCAACCACACCCCCCTCCAAAAAAGAACTAAAGCATCCGGTGCGTTAAGTTTTGAATCGGTGCTGCAGCTGTGTTGCCTCAAATGAGTAACCTGCATGCGAGCACCTTTGCAAATAAGAAATAATGTTTCCTCTCAGAGAACAAATCATTTGTTTGACAGGCATATTCGGGTGTAGTTATAAATAAATTCAAATATTCAGAAGAAAAAAAAGAGTCACATCTGGTCTGTGTTGTAATAAGATTGATCCAACCTTTCAAGGTTCTTCTAGCTAATCCATGACTAATAAACTCAGGGAATACTCCGTTTTTTTATTTCGCACTTTTTTCATTGCATTACATCCCCCTTTTATTTCAGGAATTCAGGATTGAGGAATTGTTGTATTACCTTTAATGGCCACAATACGCCGCCATACACTTGTGTTACCTGCTCTCTTTTAAATAATGATATTATAGGGGTTTTTTGGGGGGCTAAACTAGACATAAACCCATCTTTGCTAGCGTGGAAGAGTTACAATTGTGTGCCTTAGCAGTTTGATTAGTCCTCAATACAATTAATTTAGCTGTTTTTTCAAGTTCAGCTGATCTCAGGTCAGTGAGTGACTGCAGCAGCTTGTGGAGGACAGACTGCGCTAACAGGACAGAGAGAGCCTGAGGATCCCAGCTGAGACTGTCTGACTTTGAGAGTGAAGGGGGGGATGTGAGTAAGTGACATTCATATACACCGCACTGAATGATGTAAGCCATTACATGCATGTGCAACAGAAGCTCTGGTAATAAATCTGTATCTAATTTGCATTGATTGAGGTATTTAGATTTTCTATGCAGGGATACACTGCCTGAGCTTTTGCTTTCTTCACATGAGTCACGTGAAGCAGCTCTGGAGATGTGTTTTACTAAGTTCCTTCTTGTATCTTGGGCTGAGTCAAATCATGCTGTTTATTTAATACCCAAAACTTTGTCTTTCTCTGGCTCTCAGGGGTCACTCGTTTATTTTGGGAAGGGAGAGTATTCATGGGATAAGCAGAGCAATTAGGCATTTTTCCCCTCTTCTTGTTTGGTTTGAGGCCTTTTCCAATATGTGTATTTTTGTTGTGGAGTATTCCCTCATGCAGGAGAAAATCAACACTGGTGCGAAGTTGAAGCATCTGTTCAACAACATTTCTGCTTTATAAAGATATTTTGTTCTTCATTCTGTGGTAACACTGTATTTTGTTACTCAGCCTATCAAAAGTATTTGTTTAATTTCAAACGCTCATTACTTTAGATTCAACAATTCCTGCTTGTCTTTAGTTGTTTAACAGATCAACTTTTAACAGTATTTCACCATACAGAGAAACCTAGCAAAGTAGCAGTTGAATTGTTGAATCTCGACTAATAAGCTGTTGAATTGTTACAAATCTGTAGGCGGATTATCCAAATGTAGTGATACCCTTCTTCTATATTTAGCTTGTGATGGTCATGAGCATAAAATAATCTTAAAACGGCCACAAGGCGAAAACAACAACAGATGTAGTATACCATTGTACCTCTCTGGGTCCACGAGCACAGATATAGCCACACAACATTTTTTGATCTCTATATTCTCATAAGATACGGTCTTTTAATAAATAAATTAATAAACACTTTTGACAATATAAAATAGCAGGGCATTAAAGGTGTTTGGAGTTGAAACGGAGTGGATTCAGAATGATAAATAGCATTATAGAATGTAGTTTGGATCCTGTTCACAGTCCTACAAATCCAGTTAACTTCAACATTTTTTTCAAAAATAATCCTTCACGATACAAGGGTTACGTAAGACTCGCCATTCAACATTTCACTGATTGACCGCTGATTCATAAATAAATGTCCACATTCAAGGCGCGTCTGTCATCAGTTCATCTTCACATATCATCCCCTCGTTCTGTAAACATTAAAGACCTCAGTGAGAGTCCAACGCTCTATAGCAGAGGGTCGATGGTCATGTGGATCTGGTCTCTGTTGTGCCTGCTGCCGTTGGAGCTGTGGTACAGCTCCTCCCTGCGGCACAGGAAGTGTCGGGCCAGGATTTTCCGGAAGGTGTTCCTGAAGTCCTGGATGCGGTAGGCGTAGATGATGGGGTTGACGGCGGAGTTGGCGTGGGACAGAATGATGGCCACGTACATGACGTGGACGGGCTGTTTCAGGTCGTAGAACAGTTTGAGGCAGTTGAGGATGTGGACGGGCAGCCAGCAGAGGGCAAACAGCCCCACGATGATGGAGAGGGACTTGGCGGCGCGGATCTCCTTCTGCAGCAGCCCGTGGTGTTGGCTGTCCCCGTTGCCCACGCACTTGAGCTCGATCTGCCTCAGCTGCTTCCTGGCCACGGTGAAGATCTTGATGTAGATGCCCAGCATGATGAGCAGCGGGGGCAGCACGCAAACAAAGAAGTTAAAGTAGACCATGTAGTGCATGTCCACCACGCTCTCAAAGTAGCACTGGAGGCGGCAGCTCTGCAGTAAGTGTGTCCCCCGCCCCACCAGGCTGGCGTTCGTAGCGTTGTCCGCCACAGAGCTGTTGCAGCCCGAGTACTTCATGTTCCATCCGAAGAACGGGATAAGGCCAATGACGAAGGAGAGGATCCATAAAATAGCGATGATCTCTCTGGCGGTCTTTCCCGTCATCAACTCCTTGTACCTGGAGCAAACACAGCAGAGGTTAGCGTCTAACATATGTTTAAAATGTTGAAGATTCAGTCAAATATCTCTCAAAGTAGGCTCTTGAGATCAAGTTCATCCCAGGTGAAACAGATAAAACAAACATTTTTGGGTGTGTTTCCTTTTTTTGTACAATTTTACAACAGGAATATTTACCCATGTGATTTTTACATTCCTGCATCTTAAATTATTTTTCTCAAAGTATCAACATCCCAACATGATTAAAGCTAGCAGATTGCTCTTTCTAGAACTTGGTAACTTTTAGTAGGGAAACATATTTATAGTATTAATATTGTGATATGAGACAAATTGTTCTCTTAGATTTCTTAGAAGGCTTTGATGGAGAAGTTGTGTGAGAGTCTTGAAAAGGATTTGAGACAAACTTCACACCACATGTTTCGGAGAAGAGCCCACAGAGAATGTTACACTTCTTTTTCTTGCAGAAAGTGAGCTGGTGTGGCCTTACTGACACGACACGTTACTCTTAAGTACTTCCAGCTGTACAGCAGAATGCACATCGGGCTAATAATGGCCGAGAATCTGGCAGACGATAGAAATGATCAAGTGGAATGGTGACTCGCTGTGACTTGGTGCATTCAAGTGTTGTAAGAAATATCATCCTCTGTCTTTTTTTTGTACTTTTTAATTTTTCCAACCACACAACAAAAGATAATAATCCCCTTCCCATAGCATCGTCAACACGACGCTGGATTCAGAACCGCTTTAGCCCTACATTGCAGTGTTCTTGGTTATTTTAATGAGCCAGTCCGGGGGGGCAGCAGGACTCTGACAAAAGAAACAGCAAGAGTCTAAATCCAGGCTATCAGCACAGTGAGGCTGCACCAGTATAATGTTGTATTAGTTTAGCATGTTAACATTCAACGTCTGATAATTAGCTCTAAACACAAGGCACAGCTGGGGGGACCGCCATTAGTTTAGCAGGAATGGTTCATTAGAATGTACCCTTAGGGTGACATGAATGTATGTAACAAATGTCATGGCAGTCATCCAATAGTTGTTGAGGCATTTCTGACAGACTAACATGACTGTCTCTGGGGCCATGCTGCTAGCATTGGTAAAAATATACACAGTTAACCACAAAACCTCAATAAAGTACAAATATAACAGAAACGGTTCAGAGAAAGGGTTCGGCCTGAAAGCCTTGTTAGTGACGAAAGCCTTGTTAGTGACGAAAGCTCAACGGTTCACTTTAATAATGATGTTTGGTTTCCATGTTTTATTTGAAGATGCAACACTTAACATCTCAATGATGGACCCCACATCCTGATGGAGCTCATTGGTAGCATGAATGCACCACGCAGACACAGACATCTCTAAGCTGTTGACCAATCACAAAAAAGCCGGCCAGCTAACCAATCAGAGCAGACTGGGCTCTGGTTACAGACAGAGGGTGAAAAGAGGTGCTGCAGCACAGGCAGTATGAGAAAATTAAAGAGCTTTTTGAACATCAAAGCATGGAGACATGTCACAGTAGAGGCCACACATACAAATATGATCCTGAAAATGAGCATAATATGTCCTCTTTAAATGTTACCCTTGAGAATATCACCAGCTGCTAAATGAAAGCATGAAACTTGCCGCTATCTCTTTCAGTTTCTCACATCCTGTGTTGCACAAACACCAAAAATAAAAACACATGCCTCCCTTGGGGTGTGAAGCCGGTTAACAGTTGTGTTTACACCAACACAGTATCAAGACTTGAAGAGGAGAAATGAAACAGCATTTTTGCACTTTTACTCTGTAAAATTTGTAAGTGCTTTTTGTAGTGTGATGCCTACATTTTAATCTTGTGTTCTTCACTTTGGATTTACAGGTGAATATTGAGTGTTACATTTCACAATGTGTTACATAAATCCATCTCCTCACTAAAATATGATCTGAAGTTATGAGCGGCAGGTGCACAGAGGCAGCTCTGACTCACACACACGTCCTCCTGGCTGTCCCCATCATATGCACAGCACCGCAGGCTAAATGAGCTGTTCGCTTAGAAGTGATTCAGGCGAACGACCTTATGGTAATGACTCACACGTGGTGACACACGCGCACGCACGCACAGTCGCACGCACAGTCGCACGCGCACGCACACACACACACACACACACACACACACACACACACACACACACACACACACACACACACAGCAGACTGAGCTGGAGGTGCCACAAATCATCTGATCTCTCTGGCATCATCACACCACATCAGCACTTCAAATGTGACTTGCAGTTATAATCACAATCAATTATAAAACTTAATTAATCAATTAGTTAATGCTTGAATAATCATTACTATATTGAGTAAGCTCTTTTATATTGATCTGTCATGTCATTTATAATTTATTAGCCATTTGTGTTGAACAACCCCTTGATGAATGAGTTATTTAATCATTTCAATGTGAATGATAGGCCCAGTCACCACAACACAGAACTCCTCAGTCAGTCTGCTGTTTCACTTCACTGTGCTGATATCACCGCTGCAGACTATCACATCTTTAAACAAAAGTGTTGAAGGATCAGACATAAGAAATGCAGGAAGGCAACAGGCCACATTACCACAATGCAAACGGTTCATGTCACCTCTCTATCCCCTTGCTTCCTGTCCTCGTAACTATTTACAGCCAAATAAAAAAGAGACAGAAAGCAGTGTTCTGCAGAAACAAACGCTATCAGTTAGCCATAAATCATTTGAGGATAAGGTCAGCCTATTTCAAGTGGAAGAATTATGCAAAATCAACTTTATCTGAATTTCATTTGCTCAACAAGTTAAATATTCATTTTTAAATGTACATAGTTGTTCCACCCTTCGCCATCCACATGAAAAAAAATACTTTCATTGGCTCAGTGTAATGTTAAGTCATGGTCAATTAAGTTAGGTGCAGATAATGCTGTGTTTATATAAAACTGAATGGAATTGTCCCCCAGTGCAACAGTGCTTCTCTTTTTGAATGTTTTTTAAAACGTAGTAGTTCTGTGACATTAAGGTAAAGTTTATATCTATATTGTTGGCCTGGGATTCTTAATGGATTTCTATAAAAATACAATGAAATAAGGCAATCCCATTAGAGGCTGCAAATGCAGCCTGGCAAAGAGGAAGTGGGTTCAAAGAGCCGCAGTTCCCTCAGAATTTATTTTGAAAATCATTTGAAAGTCATTTGTAATGCAAAAATGGCTGAAAATGCTGTTTTATTTTAGGATGTTCTACTTTTATATAATTTTAAGTGAATAACTTGAGGTTTTGGACTGCCAAGACACATTTAAAAACATCACACTTTAGGAAATGGGATGGACATGTTTCACTATTTTCTGACAAAAGGATCAACCTAAAAGTGATTGGCAGATTAATCGATGACGAAACATATAAGTTAGTTGCAGCCCTAGTTCAGAGCAAAAACAGCCTGCTATAATAACTGTAATATTCCCAACAGTCAATGATTCATCAGTGGTGTGCAGCGGGGCCTCTGTGCTGCGCCCCCCGCAGGGAGGTGGGCAGCCTGCCCTGGGGGCCATGAATAAAACAACTCAAGGGAAGCTTCAGAGCTCAGGATGACCTCGGCACATTTCCACACCTTCCTCTACGTCTCCCACTCCCCTATGACTGCCCATAACAAGTACAGCCGGCCGCACAGGGGCCTGTTTCCCAGAGGACCCAACTCCTGCCCCCCCGCCCCACCCGCTCTTTCTGTGGAGGCTGAACGGATTAGTTCTGGCATGACGACAGCCCGCTGGCATCTATCTTTGTTTTGCTTTCTTCCCCTGCTCCATTCTCCATACATCCCCTTCTCTTTCTATGTCGCTGTGCTTCCGCCTGGGGCCACGGACCCCGGCAGGGCCACACACATTCTGAAACATCCGCTGCCCTGCTTCACACACAGTCTAACAGGTCACCGTTCACACTCACCACACAGACACACTCCCCTCAGTGTGGGGCTAACAGAGCTACGCAGCATTTATGTGAGTTTTGCTAAGTCGCATCACAATGTTAATAAAAGCGTGCAAACACAGTTCTTTATTTTAAAGCTGTCACGGTCCAATTAAGATGCAAATATTGTTTAGACAGAATAGAGAAAAGTAAATAAGGATGTCATCTCTGTATGGCTTACTGGGAAGTATGGACGTGCTTTCCCACAGTGCAACAGTGTGTCTCGCTGTCAAGAAGCTCAACAGCTACACTTGTCTCATTTTGATCCTTGATGACTAAAGTGATAACTCCAAATCTATTTTTGAAGTATTAAAACCCCCTGTAGGCTAGGTAGTTTTCTTTCTCTTAGAAAATAGTGGCTGTCGTCAGCTTGGTTTCACTGTAATAATATAAACAGTTACAACTTCCTGCAAATAGTCATCATAAGTGTGTAATCTTAGGCAGATTTAGCCAGCAACAAATGATTGATTGATTTTCAAATGATCTGTTTTATATTTTAGGAATCAATTGATTGATCAGAAAATGGTAAAAACAATACAGATCAGAGTCCAAAAGCCTAGGAGGACGTCTTCAAATGTCTAGTTTAGTCAACAACAAGTGAAGAAACTGGTTGTATCAAATTGATTATCAAAACTTAAATGTTGGCTATTCGATGAATGGTAACTGCTCAACTTTCCAGTTCAACAGCTCTTAATGTAAAACTCTCAGTGGCTCTAGCAGACATGAGGACAGGTGACAAGTGAAAGGAAAAATATAAGTCCTTCACGAAAAAGTGAAACAAATGATCATTCGACATTTCACATCATGTGTTTTTCTTGTCAAGAGTTAGATGACTGACACTCATCTCTGTCAGTTAAGTATTTAGTTTAAGTGGGGAGTCTATTAGCTTAGCTTAGTTTAGCATAACAACTGGAAGTATGTGGAAATAGCTAGCCTGGCTCTGTCACAAGCTCAAACACACCCTAACATCACCTTTAAAGCTCACTTACAAACATGTCATAAGTAGTTAGTTGTATCTGTACATATACATATACGTTAGCTTCCTGTGTGGGGGTGGTATCAATATACTCATCTAAATCAACAGATGTTGACGTTTAGATAGACTTCTACTGAATTTGTTTTCCCTAGAATTATTTTTCAATATCAATGGATCAGATGTTTTTAGTTCTTCAACTCTTATACTACTTTGGATGTTTTGAAGTGGGGTTGTATGAGGTACTTATCCCTACTCAGTGTATCACCTACGGCAGATGGTGGATCTCCCTGTTTGGAGAATAAATTGAGCACCATCACAGAAGTAAAGCATTGTGCTAATGTGGACAGGGGCAGCAGCACAACATAAACAATATCAGTATAAGTGTAAGCTTTATTTAGGATATTTGAACTGCTTTACTTTGCCGTGAGCCAGCCTGTTCCAGCGGGACACTGAAGGAATTATTTAGCTCTCTTCAAAGCTTCCAGACTTCATTGACAAAAACAGTCATTTTACCTTGCAGACCATGCTGCTGCCTCCAAAATAACCTACCATCTACTGGACGCCATTTACTGAAGCTAAATCACTGACAATTGTTGAGTACCTCATTCAACTCCACTTAAAAAAAGTGTTATTATTGTGTAACAATAAAGCAGAATGTCTACAAAGGATGACATTGTACCACACCCATCACCACTCCATCATTTGCTGAAACAAAGACAAGAAGAGTTTTAAACCATGCATTCATTTATCATTCTTACTTTTCCTGTGCACGCTGAGGCAGGCCTGATGGTGGGTGGGGACGACCCTTTGGGGTCTCTAATGTGTTAAAGGTATTCGAAATCCCCCGACAAGGACAGAGGGACAAACAGCAAGAGGGTTTTTTTTTTCTTCTCAGAACAGCAAACAGGGGAAGACGGGGGCTCGTAGAGAGCGTTGAGTGGGTGGGCAGCTCTGTCATCTCCAGGGGTTTAAAACATCTGGGTTCAGCCTTTCACTTCCACTAAAACCATCTGTGAAAACACTTTCATGTGATGGCCTGCAGACCGGCCAAACACCGTGGACATGTAATGTGAGCCACACACACACACACACACACACACACACACACACACACACACACACACACACACACACAATCATAAAGCCAGAGTGTGTGTGTGTTGTGATGCTGGGTTTTCAGGGGAAAATATCAAATGTCATTTTCAAAAACCTTTTACAGAGAATGTAACAGGCGTGACCCGTGTTTTCTGTCCTCATTTGGTTTCTGTCTGTGGTCAGAAATAGAATTACAAATGGGGATTTTACATACCACTTGGTTGGTGGGGGAACATTTGTTTTTTTTTAACACGACTAAGTGTCAAACTGTCCTTTCTTGCCAGCATATGAGTGTAATGGAAATGACAGCACACCACAGCCCCATGGCAAGAACAGGCAGCAGAACCACAACCAAGGGCCCACAACAAATCACAGCAGCCGGTGCCGCCTTTAAGAACAAATCCACCACACTCTGATATGGCGAGAGGCCAGAAACAACAGGGACAGACAATTGCCATCTGATAATAAAGCGTGTATTCTTCAATCCAGGGAAATATCCAGCAGCACTGTGCCGCCTCGGGGGAGCACGGTGGCCTGAACCATCAGGATGAATGGAAGTGACAGAGCCAGGTATCGATCCGCAGCTCCGCCCCCCCCCCGTGCCACATCAAACACAAGTCAGATCCCTGCATCTTTTAAGAGCCGCAGGAGGACAATAAGAGAGGAACTGATGGATGGAATGCAGCGGTGGACAGTAACTAATTACATTCATTCAAGTAATGTACTTAAGTAGAAATTAGAGGTGCTTGTGCATTACTTATGTATTTCCATTATATGCAACTTTGTATTTTTTACACCACTACATCTCAAAGGGAAATATTTGTACAACACTACATTTATCTGACAGCTTTAGTTACCTTGTAGTTCCAGATTAATAATGCACAATATCAACCAAAACATGTCTACAAGTTGCAACAATAAAATGATGAACCCATTATGGCATTAATAAATATGATACAGTAATATAATATTCTGAAATATGCCCATGATGGCTGTTAAGCTTTAATAATTAAATTACAATCTAGGCGATGGGGATACATTCCACAGTCGTTTTAAACTGTATTAATAAAAGATAATATCGATATCTTTACTTTTGTGCTAAAGATATATTTTGAATTGTGAAATATGAAAAACGTTTGTATTTTAAAAAAGTACAACTTTAAATGTGTGACTTTTACGTGTCAGAGTTAAGACTCCTTCTTCCACAATGTGAAGGTGGCAACAGGTAATCCCTTTAGATGTTCAATCACAGGTATAAAACAGTTCAAAGTGTTTCTCTAACATCACATACAATCAATTTCAATCAATTTCAATCAATCAATGTTTATTTATATAGCACAATATCACAAATGTTACATTTGTCTCAGTGGACTTCACAGTTACGGAGGTATTATCCGGTATCAGTCCGCATTTAGATATCAATCCGGCTATTTTTACATGAGGCATTAAGCTGCACATGAGACTGATTCATGAGATCACAGAGCAGATACTCATCTTCCAGGACCTCAATTCAATTATTTTCCATAGGGGACACATGCCAATATTTACGGCTCTTTAATACAGATAAGGATGAAGGGATGTCAATGTGTTTTAAGCTTATTTGGCACACAAGGGATCAACTATATTGATCTAAGGGAAAATGGGTGTTAATGAGGTTCTTTCTCCATCTTTACCTTTAGCCTGTCAGATGGGGAAATAACTTTAATCAGCTAAAAAGCATTTTCTTAATAAATCCACACTAGTAATTAAAAAAAACTCACCTCAGAGAAATGTTCACGGCCAGATATCTATCAATAGCAATAGCAAGAAGGCTGAAGATGGAGCTCTGCGTCAGGACCAGGACGAAACAGGCCAGGAAGAGGCAGCCGTAGAAGTCCAGGTGGATGCCGATGCTGATGGTGATGGCAAAGGGAATGGCGAGGCACCCCACCAGAATATCCGCCACAGCCAGGGACACCAGGAAATAGTTGGTGGCGTTCTTCAGGGTGGTGTTGATCGCGACAGCCCAGCACACCAGTACGTTGCCGAATATGGAGAGAACCGCGATTACTACTTCAATAAAGATGTACAACGAAGCCATGTTCAGCAAATGTGTTACAGGACTAAAAACTGCAGGCTGATTTCAAAAACCCACAAAAAAACACCGCTTCTAATCCCAGAGGAGCAAAGAAGTCTTTCTGCTGTAATCCAGGAGTATTCCACAAGTGTGAGCTGCAGAGCCAGCCATCTGTTGGGAAGAAATGGATTAACTTCATATTAAGATAAAAACACCACAAAGTTGACAAAAGCTGCAGGAGCTACGTAAACATGCATCCACCCTGCCCACGCCTGCTGCAGGAGTGTACACCTTCAACAGATTAAAGTCCCTGTGCTGATCCCCTCACCTTAATGAGCCTGTACATCGTGTCTGGATGTTTTCACACAAACACACAGAGATCTGTGGAGCGCTTAATCTGTGGATCTGCATCAGGCGGTGTGTCGCCCAACTTCCCCCCGACAGAGGTTTTGAAGCGCAGGGGGAACACACAAGAAAAAAAGAGAGGGGAAAAAATCAATTTCACAGAGAAGCCACGCCTCACACACACACACCGAAACTCAAGCGCGGAGCAAGTAGATTTTGATGGAACCCCGAACGAGCGTCACCCTGTCCGCCGTGCGTAATTGCGCGCCAATTAAACCGCATACACTTTCATTTAAATCTTAATGCAGTGTTGTTTGTACAGTACACACGCACGCGTGTCTGCACTGCTCGCCCACACGCGCGTCTGCTCCTGGTTTCAATTACAGTTGTTTTGGTGCCCTCCACGCCAGGGACTTCGTGAAGGCAAAGTGACCAAAATAGATATATTTACTCCCGTTTTACAGTGTTTGCAGGATATTGTATATCTCCCGCCCCTGGCTGACTAAAACGCAGGAGAAGAAGTCAGAGTAAAAGTAATATTTATATGATACTCAGTTGTATAGAGAGCCTGGGAAACAAGAGCAAGTTTGTACTTTATCGACAAAAGCCTCGGATCGATGCTTTTATTCTCGTCGCACCTATTGTATTCATTTCTTAGTAGCGTTTTATAAAATAAAGTTTAATATTTTCTCCCTTCCTTTTTTATTTTTATTTCATCGTGATATGGACCCCCTCAGTAGCATCCTTAATAAAATGTGAGGTCTTTTCGTGATATCTAAGTGGTACCTCTAATAAAATAATGTTGTTAACAGTGTTTGAAGAAGTACTCATACTATGGTCTTAAAGTACTTCATTAAAAGTCCTGATTTCTAATGTTACTTAGGTAAAATTACAAAAGCATCAAAATATACTTAAAGTAGGCCTACAATCAGTTAAAAATACTCATTCTGCACAATGATCTTTTATAATATACAGTACATAAGTATTATCAGCTAAATGTACTTCAAGTATCAAAAGTAAAAGTACTTTTCAGATTATTATCGTATAATGTTTATTATCCTGTGGAGATTAGTAGTACACTAAATTATACCATATCTTAGTTGTTTTTTGTGTACAAAGTCATGATGAGTGTTAAATTGCAATGCAGTAAAAGTACAATATTGGCCTCTGAATTGTAGTGGAGAAGAAGTATAAAGTAGCATATATTGGAAATAATCAAATAAAGTACAAGTATGTCAAAACAAGTTACGTACAATACTTGAGTAAATATACTTAGATACTTTCCACCACTTGTGGTTAGTGTGGATGTGATTTACAGTGTTTAAGTTGTGGGGAAGTCAGATGAGAGGCAACGCTGCACAGAGCGAGGGGAACGTTTGAATACCTTTGTCGTAAGGTCAGTATTGTTTAACTGGTGATATATCAAGTCCTGCACATATGTTATATATACACACATATATTAAACCATCACAGCAAGAAGTTACTCTTCAGAAAACAGCATCTCTCAATATTTTAGAATAATTTCTCTGGAAAATCTGTTTATCTTGACATAATAATACAAATGTGAATAATGAAATATAAAACTTGATAATCCTTTATTGAGCATATCCATCCAACACACTTCCAAATGTGACATCCTTAAATAGAAAACTGGACCCTGACTTCTGTCCACAGTCCCACTTCTCAAGTCTTGTAAATAAATAAATAACACTTTTATTTTTCAAACCATAAGGGCATCTGCAAATGTAAACCATAACACAGAAAGTGTTGTTTCTCAACTCTTACATATAAAAGTAATCCTCTCTTTATTATTTAACATGGCATGCCAAATATGTATCTTTTGCCAAGCAGCAGCAGTACCATAGAGTCCTGATGGAGAACAGTTTGATTCAGCCAGTCCTTCAGACGATGCAAACACAGAGATCTGATTCCATAAAATATATTCCTACAAAACTATTCAGTAACTCTCTGAGTGTTAAATCATTATTCGTGTTGTTTCGCTTACAGCAGCAATGGTTCGTCTGATTTGTGTTCTTAAGGAAGCACACACTTAAAAGTGGGGGATATAAAAGCTTCAGCTGTCAGTTTGATACTCTCTGCTCTGCTAAGTAACTCCAGCTCTACAGTAAGCACTCAGTATGAGAACTGATCGATTCGTTAAAGCAACGGAAAAACATTTACCCAAATTTTGTCTTCACACTTTTCCCCTTGTTGCTGATGTTGTTCAGTGAAGGAGAGATGAGGTTTCCCCATGCATAGACACTCTGGCAGAATACAGGTTTTGGCACATTTTGACCATATCAGAGCATTTGATTCACAAAAATGGAAAGAAATTGTTTTGTGAAAAAGTTTGTTTTCTTGTCAATTATTTCAAAGTAGAAATAGAAGGATTTAAAAAAAGAAGTTCTTAATATTCCTTCAGTAGTGCTATCATCAGCTTCTATTCAACAGCATATTCTGTTTTTAATCTGTGAATTAGATGCTCAATTAATACTTTAAAGGGAAAGTCCACCAAAAAATCATAAATACAGATTTTTCCTTTTACCTGTGGTGTTATTTATCAGTCAGATTGTTTTGCTATGAGTTGCTAGTGTGATGGAACCAAATGTTTGAAAAACTCAACAGCAATGCGTTCTTGCAGAAATCATGACCCTATCGCTCAAGCTAATCCACAGAGAATGTTTTAACAGTTGTATTCAGGAACTATTTTAGTTTCTTTCGCACAAGTCCAAGCTAGCTCACCTAGCATCACTAAGCTAGCTTAAGTTGCAGCTCAGTTGAGGCAGAAGCCATTCATAAGCCTTCAGGCTAAGGGTAGTTTCAAGCTTCTTTTTAAGCGGTAATCCTGTAGAAGAAAGTATTTCCTACATAAAACCGCCAACAACAAAATCTGTGGATTATCTTGACCGGGTCATGGTTTCAGGAAAAATAAATTGCTGTGAAATGTATTCATTTTGGCACTTTAAGCACCACAAGATGAGTGTCATCTGGTTCCAATATATATGAGAGGGCAGACCTCTGTACGGTCGATATCTCCAACACTCTCCAATCCCCATGCACCAAAACTATCTAGTTTGATAAACAGCACTAAAGGTAAAAGGAACAACATGTATTATTTATTTTTGGGGTGAAATGATGAAAAAGGTAATGTGTTTCCTGACTGCAGTCTTTGTAAATGACGGCCTTAGCGCTCACTGTTACGTCCCGTTAAGATGTTAGAAATCAACATCTGAATGTTTCAGGTCGTGTAGGTGAGGACGGACAGGCCGGACTGGCAGAGCGTCATGCAGTACGTCTCTCAGATCTACAAGTACTTTGAGACCTGACTGGGGGGGGGCAGGAGCTGGAGACCAATGGACCGGAGGCACCGCAGCACGTTTCTGTCACCGTCTGTCAGCACGACATCACCTGAACCCCCCTCCTCCCCCCCCCAGTCAGGTCTCAAAGTACTTGTAGATCTGAGAGACGTACTGCATGACGCTCTGCCAGTCCGGCCTGTCCGTCCTCACCAGCTCCTCCATGTCCTGGTGGAGCACACAGAGGGAGGAAAGAACATTTAGAGGGCTCGGATATTTTCATGGAGGTGTACAACTACAATTAAAATACTTACGATTGTTTCCTCAGAAATGAACTACTTTCCTGTCGAAAATTCAGTTTTTTTTCTGTAAATATGATTCCCCTTCTTCCTGTTTTGATAATATTTTAAACCATCAAGAAAATGTGTTGCGGAGAAGCTCAAGTTCAAGGTTCAAGGCTTTTATTGTCATTCGTACAAAGCTACAGTGTAGTTATGTCGATGAAAATCTTAGGTCACAGGCTCCTCCAACTGTGCAACACAATGAAACAGATCAAATAGTGCAAGTAAATACAATAAAATAGAATAGAATAGAAGAAGTGCCATAAGAGTCTATACAAGTGATACATCATTTGTAAGTTACAAACAGGTGAATGTTATGGATGTTCTTAGTTCAGGTGTTTAACAGTCTCATGGCCTGTGGAATGAAACTGTCCCTGAGTCTGGTGGTTTTAGACCTGATGCTGCAGTATCTACAGTATTCTAAGTACTCTCTATATAACACTGAGGATCTGTGTGAAGCTGCAAAAGTCCACTCAGAGCCTAATGGTGTCCGACAGGGATGAGTCAGACAGAGCGGCCCTCACATGACTCCGTATGGAGCCGGCGTCACTGCAGCTTCCCTTGGCTCAGATTAATGCAGAAGCTCCAGCACAGTCATTTCCACGATGTCTCAACCTCCCATCGGGGGGAGCATTAGCTCCTCTCTGGGCTGTGGCTGACGCTAATGTTTATGCAACAGAGGAATAAGAAGTTAAGAAGTTGGAAGTCACTGGCATGGGAATAAGTTTCCCCTCTCAAATCTTCTAACCACAAGCACGCAATTGAAGATTAATAAAAGATATGACCTTCATGCTCAGCGAAAAATCATTTAAGTCTAATGCACTTCCTCGCTGACGTCCAGCTGGCAAAATGAACTGTTGGACTGGTTTATGGATTTTGTAATTCATCTCTGAGCAGTTAGTGTGGTTAGACTTTCATTAAGGATAAATATCCAACAAATATTCATGTCGTTTCTTTTATCATGTTACTCAAAACATGAAGCTTTTATAAGGAGTGCAGAGAGAGTTGCACATTATGTAGAACAGGGAGGGAGAGGTCACATTAGTTTAACCCTATCAGAAATCGGATACTCTGCAAACACTTCTAACATAGTTAAAAATGACTCAAAGGTCCATACTGTATGTTAACATCAATAAAAGTATGTCTGTGGGGTAAAAACACATTCTCCCAGCAGCTCACAGCAGATTGTTCCTCTGTTTGCACAGGAAGCTGTGTGCAGGAGGATTTCACTGTCCCTCGTCAGCACTAAACTGTTCACTGCTCACATTCCTGCTCCCACTGATAGGTGTGTTTGAATGAGAATAATAAAAACAAATCATGAATGTGTAAAAACAACAGCTCTTGTGAAGGGAATGTTTATTCAAACAACAAGTCAAGGTCGTCATTCTTTTCATAATTCACAGCGAGTTAAATTATCACTGGATTCACCTGAACATTTCTTTTAAAATGTCCCAGAAGGAGCAATAGGATCTCTATCATTTTTGAACAGTTTTGGTTATTTAAAATAAATTTGAATAGAGAGGCGAAATCCCTCCCTTTCCGGGGGAGCTCCATGGGACCTTATTTCGGAAAAAGTATGTATTGAAATCAATGGCGAGAGAAAGGTTATCTCTCGATCCCTTTTGAATTGTGCCACAAACTACACACATGATGTTTGTCAATTTAAAAGATAATTTTGAAGTCAAAAAAATTAAAATGTGTCGTAAAACTGAAGTAACACTTTTTTTTGTGTGAAATAGCTCAATGAACTACAACTCCCATCTCACACCAAGAAGGCCGTCATGTTGGCACATTTCACTTCAGAATGAGACGAAAAGTATTAAAAGAGGTGAAAATCACTAGAAGTCTGGGCATGTTGAGAGCTGTACATACACACAAGGGTAGTTAGTCGGTTCCGTAAGAGCCAGCATGCGGGACCGGGATTCTGGGATTTGTAGTCTTTCTTGTTGCATATTTTTCATAGTCTTATATTTCAACAGTTTTACGACAAACTNAAAATGATCTGAAAGTGAAAAACGATCTGAAGGTGAAAAGTAATGTGAAACCGGAAAAAACAAGATTTGAAACTGAAAAAAATATTGTTTTGAATCTGAAAACGAAAAATCTGCAACTGAAAAAAATAAGGATTCAAATATCAAAATATGTATAAAAGTGAAATCTGAAAATAAATATTTTATTCAAAAGAATTGCTAAACTGAATCAAAATAATATTCAACCTGAAAAATGATTTCAAATACTTATTTTTATTTTGAATACATCATTGTATTTTTCAAAGTTCAGGATAAAAACTTGAACTTTCAAATAAATTGTATTTTTTTTAATGATCAAAACTTATGACCCTGAAATAGGTCCATAATGCTGACATTAGCAGTATGGATTTAACACACGGGACACAAATAGTACGTTTGTGAGCTTTGAAGGTATTTTTAACCCTGTTTTCTGTCCTTATGCCAAGCTAATTTCCCCCCTGCTTTCAGTATTTGTGCTAAGCTAAGCTAAATGTTAGCCCTGCTCAGTCCTTATGGTAAGCTAAGCTAACTTTTAAACCTGCTTTCAGTCATTGTGCTTAGCTTAATATAAGATATAAGAGTGTATGTATGTATGTATTTGTATTCTAAACTTTAGAAAGGACGAACCTATTTGCCAAACATGTTAACACTATTCCTAGAAGAGGTAAACATTCACCTTCACATTTGTTGCCTTAAGCACATTGCACTGCTTCACTTGAAATAAATATATTTAAGTCACGTTGTTTACGGCATGAGAAAACACGGACGGTTTGTGTGCTCACCAAATCTAAATATTTTTTTTCCGTGGAGCAGCTGCTCGTTACTCAGCCAGTTGTGACGAAGCCGCTGATGTTTTCACATTTTAGGTCATCAAAATCAAACTGTATCTTAATTACGTTTCAGGTTTGTTTTTAATTTATCAGATTTCCAGGACACGGTCTTTGAGATCTCTCTGGGTAACGGATAGGACACAGCAAGGCTCCAGACAGTCAGGAGGAATGATGTTTGTTGGGTATCTCAGTTCTGAAGCATCCCACCAGTTTGACTAATTAAAGAGTTCTGTTTCCAATGTGTCTAATCAAAGGGCCTCTGTTTGATATCCGAGTGTGTATGTGAGGTCTGTGGCAGCAAAACTCACCAGAGAGGGTTTGATCCCGATGCTCTCTGCGGCCTGGAAAGCCAAGGTCAGATTTTGAACCTGAAGAAAAACAAACCATTTAGACTCTGTGAAACTCACTGCGCCCCATCATGCTGCAACAACACACATGGTGCTGCAAGAAGCAACAATTAGCCCTGAAATAAATGTATTACCCTTACCAACGCTCAAGAGACATATATCTATACTTTGAGCCTAATTAACATCCCCATGAACTGCCTTCCTTTATATTCAGCCATATACCTCATTTTGAAACTGTGGACTTAAGTAAAGCCACTTCTCCACAGAAAAAAAAGCGAGAAATCAAAACCTAACATTCAAACTGTCCTCCTACTGGAGCACCGTTGATATAAATGTTCTTTCAGTCCTTCTTTAAGTTGTGTTTTTGAAGAGAGGACATATAATTCTCAGTTTTATGTTATATTTGTATTTTTTGCCTCTACTGTGACATGCTTTAATGTTCAAAATTCAGCAGTGTGGGAGAGAAACTCCCTTTAGCCTTTGCAGACCATTTACATGCACAAAAACCCATATAATCAGGGGTGCACACAACTTTCTCAGTGAGGTACTCAGATGAGTACCTGGAGTAAGTGTTTGGTACTCCAACTTCCGGCTCCCCTCAAAGTTCCCATGAAGCCCTCTGTATCGCGAATATCAGCGGGTGGGGGTGCTAGTGGAGTATGATGAAGCCCTCTGTATCGCGAATGTCAACGGGGGGGGGTGGGGTTAGTAGTAGAGTGCAGAGCTTCGTGACCACAGAGCGTGTGATAGCGCAGTGCTGCTGTACAGGCCGACGTTAACAGCAGCCCTGTCTTTGCACACGGAGACCGACTCCGTCGTCCGGTGATCCAACCGCCTTATGGAAAAGCTTCACATATACATCGGTACGCAAATGCGCTTTGTGACACAAGTGACGGTACGCATTTCAGATTGTTGCCGCGCATGCGTACCTGCGTACCACTTATGTGCACCCCTGCATATAATTCTCTCGTTCTCTCTCTCTCCTCTTCTCTTAAAAGCCACAAGACTCCTTTGACAAAAACAATAGTTTTACTTTGCAGAACTCAAAAGAGTCTAGGTCTAGGAGCTTTAAAGAAAGCATAGACGCAATGATGGCGTCAGTTCAGTAGTGGAAAGGCTGTCTCACAGCAAGTTAAAGTGGGGAAAGTATTCTAAACATAGCGTACAATAACATTCATATTGATTTTTCTCGTTTGCTAAAACTTTTCCTTCTGCCACAGTCAACAACAATGACATATACTGTACATAACACATTATGGATTAGTACCTCATCTAACCCTATATACAAAATTCCCAACTATTCTCTTCAAAAGAAACTAGACATCACAACTGGGATGATGAATTGATATTGATATGACCTATCTTTCACCTAAAATATTAGTTTGACTATAACATTGTTTTCTAACATCTTTATAAAAGTAAAGGATGGAAGTAATGGAATCATCCGAAGGACAAATTATTCTGGGAAAAGGTTACAGTGTTTGGGCCTCAGGAAAAGTCACTCAGCACGAGTTATTACAGCCAACATGCTTCTATTGGATTATTCAGAAAGAAGTCTATCATCAGCACAATTTCACACACTCACCCCAACAAAACGATGCACATGCCTAAATGACTCATTTGTCACGTAGGATGTGTCAGAGGTGTGTGTCTATTGGTTTAATATCATAGCAAGCTGAAAGAGCCGCGGCTAGAGGAGCCATATTGTTTGTACACTTCCAAACCACCTGCATGTCCACATGACAGCTGTCAGCACCCAGGAGTCCCCTGCCTGCCATCCTCAGGATCACCAACATCCATAATTAATCTTCAGGCTGCACTTAATGCTATGTGGGCATTATGGCAGACCTATAAAAAGTCTACAGCCTCATAAAGGAAGTCAATTTAGCAGAGTTTAATGGTGGAAAATGGCTTCCATGTATTACAGAGATTTTATTTGTCTTTTGGTAAATGTACATTTTTTAGACCGTTTTCACAGTTTACACGTTTTCCACAACAACTTGCTGTGGCTTTATGTGTGGTATTTTCTGGAGACATGGACACCATGGACACCATGACACTGAGTCTGCAACTTGTTTGCTGTACTCAACTTTACTTCCTTGAAGGTAGAGTTCCTCAAAGACACTGTGAAGAGTCTACCGTACTAAACAAATGCTTTCTCGGGATTCATCTTTAACAATTCAACCTCCTACACACAAAATAATTTAGTCAGCCAAGCATCCAGTCATTGTTGTGGTAACCTTTTTGGGGCTCTGTGACATTTACACTATGCTCTGTACAATACATGGGAGTGACTTCACTGTTCTGTTGTAAACTGATATGAACGGGAAGTGAGTCTGCGTTTAGAGTTGGAGATGTATGCGTGTGAGGAAAGACTACATTGAGGAGAGAGCCTCACTGCATCAGTTTTATTATGCGCCTTTTGAATTGTATAACTGCTGGTGAGGCACTTTCCAATGGAGATAATGGGTCCCTGGGCATTCAGAAGGCCCCACGGACTCCCCTACACGGATGCAAAACACATATTGTTTAGTTGTTTAGCTCTAATTTTGTGTTGCTTTGTGTTTTTTTGCAGTCGATTTCTGTCACATTGTACAATAGTTGTTTTAGTGTATTTCTGATCATCACTTTCTGTATTTGTTTTGTAACTCTTTCTAGTCGTTTTCAGCCTCTTTGCAACAATTTAGTTTCTATTTGTTGTTGTTTTGCTCTCTTTGCAGCTTATCTGTCTCTCTTTTATGTTTGTTTGATTTCATTTTGAGTATATTCATGACTGTTTCAGAGATATTTTGTAGGTGGAGCCCAGGGGGGGCTTCCTGACACTTTTGGCCCCTGGGACAGTTCCAGGTAGGCCCAATTCTGTAACCCATCTACGCACTGAACCACCTTAAACTGTAAGTGTGAGGATATTACTTGAGGGTGTGTGTGCGATCTTTCTATATTTGTCTACCTTATCTTGACTGATGAGTTCCTGGTACGGGATGTGGGCGGGCAGATATGTGTGTAAGAGGGCGCAGAAAGCCAAGCCGTCACTCCAACTGCTGCTGAAGTTCGTAACATCAATATTCTGTAGAGTGAGAACAGAAGAGGAAGCAAACAGCAGAGGAAAAAACATAGAAGTCACAAATCAATATCATACATAATGAGCTTAAAGTGCCCATAATGCGAGCAAGTAGCCTCTTTACAACATGAACAGGCCATGAAAAAGCCATTAAGTCAAGAGAAAACATGGAAATTAGAATCGAATGCTATAATATTCTGTTCAGTCCATTAATCCTTGGTCGTGTATCCTTCGGGGAAGTAAGGATAATCTTCTCCTTACAATAAGCCTCCGATGCTCTCTCAGATCTCTTCTCTTGTGGAAAAACGTGTATAGCAGCACGTACGGTCTGTTGTGATTGTGTGTGCATTGTCACCTCACACTACACAGAGTATTCAGGGTCTGATAAAAGTAGAACGTTTGGAGGAAAGACTTCCTCTGGGCCATTGTTTGGCATTGCAGGCTCCCTACTGGATAGATAAGGTATTTCCTGTGTATTTCAGGTACATTTGATTATTTTCTACATACTAAATCATTTAGTTCTTACAAAAAGTACATCTAAATTATTTAAACAATTAACAAGCACATTACTAGACACACACTGGCAGCTTCAAGGGACCACTACAATCCAGAGTGTATCCTCTGGTGATCAGGAATTTAAGTAGAACATGTGATTGAGATCCATTTAAAAGTTGGTGAGATGGATTGCGTGCACCAAAAGGGCAGACAAACTGAAGAATCAACATAACCATTCCTCTAGATATGCCATTAGTTTGGCTTAAAGAGGGCATATTATGCTCATTTCAGGTTCATATTTGTATGTTGTGTCTCTACTGTGACATGTCTCCATGCTTTCATGTTCAAAAAGCTCTTTATTTGTCTCCTACTGCCTGTGCTGCAGCATCTCTTTTCACCCTCTGTCTGAAACCACAGCCCAGTCTGCTCTGATATAGTGATTCCACTTTGAACATAGAACAGTTCACCTTTTCCCTTTTAAGCATACTTTTCAAGAGGAGAATAGACACATTGTCTTAATTGTTTAGGATAAAGAAAGTCTGTATGTAAGATGCTAAAGACATGCAGCCATGAGGTGTTTGCTGTTGCTCTCTTCACTCCTGGCCCTGTGGACCCGAGCTAATCCAACCAGTGATTGAGTCATACAGGTGATGCCATGGGGAATGTAATTAACTTGGTGATAGGACAGAGAAACAGCAGAGCTCTGGCTCCTGAGGACACAAATTAAAAGTGGCTGCAGTAATGAATATTCCCCTGAGCTCCTATGACCGGTTGACAGATTGTCATTACCGATTGCCTTCACTCATCTCTATTTCAGTTTAACACTATCTCTAGTTTCAAGGCGATACAAATCTCACCTCAACAGCAACAAGTGGTTTATTGTTGTGGAGTTCTTACTCATGCTGCTATAAACTGGCAATCGCTTTAGTCAGTAGTTTCTAAATGTGCCTAAAGCTCCATGTAATCCTTAACGTATATATAGCTGGGTGGATGTCAGACATGTAGTTGTCACAGGATGAACCCTAGTAACCTTTGAAATATTCAAATCTTAGTGATAATGCACACATACACTTTTGTACAGCAAAAGTTACAGACACTCTTCACCTATAGACTCTCTACAGAGTCAGCCATACTCCCAACTTAATGTTGTAATAATTAGTACATGTTAGCATGCTTATAGGCCAAATTAATGTTGCTGTGAAACATCTCCCTACTGTACATCTGAAATGGATAGAGTTTTAATATCCCTTACAGCAAAAAAATGATATGTTAAACTACTAAATACGTTTGGAGAGATCAGCCAATTACTGTTCCCCAACTTCAGTCATTAGGGAAAGCCACAGAGCGTTTGTGGTCACAATGGGATCTGAGGGAGCAGCTGCCTCATCTGAATGAAGCCAAACAGGATGGAGTCCTGGGCTCAGGCTTTGCTCAGGTTCACCATCATGTGCCCTCTAATAGTCAAGTATCACACACTCATTAACTTATGATCATCCTGAGGGAAACAATCCCCAGAAGAAACTCATTTAAAAATAACCTCCTATAATGATATCTTTAAAAAACACTTTTTACTTCTCTCCCAAAAGTGATCTCTATTAAGCAGAGCAGATTTTGGCCATCTCCTGTAGTGTTTTGGCCCAACAGAGGCTGGGAGCCAGTCTCGTCTCCATCACTCACCGCCTGTTTATTGGCTCTGTGGGGCCGACCTGTGTAGTCCTGTCAGCCCACATTCCTCTCATAACTCCCCACTATTCTCTATCAGTAATGTTTGTGTGATGTATTTACACATTCACACACACACACACAGAGGGAGGGATAGGGGGTTAGTGAGACAAAGAGAAACAATGACTAATAAGCTGATAGGAGGAGTTGCAGAGTGCAGCGTTCATGGGTAATCTGAGGAGAACAGATTTCCTAATCCACGCAGGTATGTTGTAGTTCAGGGTGTGATTAGGAGAGAGAAGGGGTTGGGTGGGGGGAGGGAGGTTGGGATTTGGTCAGGGTTAGAAAGAGAGGGAGAGGCATGAATGCTAAAATAGCAGCGGACAACAACGGCTCTCTGGGAGCCGGCTCAGAAAAGCAAACACAGCATCAAGCGACAGGAAGCGTCTCGCTCTGCACAAAAGGCCGAGCCGTGGCTTTTTAGGGCTCACAGAAAGAGAGAGAGAAGCAGGGGCTTGTACAGAGAGGGGGGAGAAAGAGATCATATCAAATGTATCTATGTTTATGAGCTTTGCTCTACCTCAAAGTGGGACATAGATAAGATCAATGATTGTATCAGTAATTCAATTAAGTGGAAATGAGGCTGGAAAGCTTCATCAGGTAATAAAATACAAACGGAACTGTCGCCTACAACTGTTGCTCTGAAGACTGGAAACGGCTCATCAGCTCTGCAAATATTCTTATGGTGTTTAAAAAGAGACTCAAAATCTAGCAGATCTACCTTTATTGAGTTATTTTAGCAACACAATCTGATAAGCTCGACAATAGCTTTACTCATAAATAAGATGTACCTACAGTTGGTCGCTAAAAAGCACATTTTAGCGTGCTTACAAATCTTAAATCTTTCCAGAACAGCACATGACTAGGGCTGCAACTGATGATTTATTTCTTACTATCCAGTCATGAACATTTCTTCAAAAAACAAGTTTTGGAGGACCGACATACTCATAATACAAATAATGTGTAAAACGAGTGCAAAGAGAGTGCAGATGCTGAACACAGCACATTTTCGGCATTTTTCTTTGAGAAAATGACCCAAATATTTAATTGGTCATCAAAATTGTATTTTTTTTTTACTGTTGATTAACGTATTAGTGAATGCTAATAGATTTGTGTGTGACATAGGCTGCAGAGGACTTTAAAGTTCAGAACAGCATATCCTCTCTGCCTGTAAAACGTTTAGAGATGGAATTCACAGGCGAGCTGGACACGAGCCAGGTACTAAACACCCCGCCGACAGCACTTTAACACTGTGTGTGCAGCAGTGTGTGTGCTCTCTCTGCTGCCACATGTGAATGCAACCGGACTGGTGTCGCATCCCGTAACATGGAGTTAAGCCCATCTGTTTCATGCTATGATGACACTAGCCACCCAGATGTAAAAGTGCCATTGCAGCTAAATGTAGCTCTTACTCACAGTTAAAGAATGTAAAAACACAAAAGCACCATGTAGCGGTCTAGTTGGCACGGAAGGATGGAGGATGACACACACACACACACACACACACACACACACACACACACACACACACACACACACACACACACACACACACACACACACACACACACACACACACACACACACACACACACACACACACACACACACACACACACACACACACACACACACACAGTGTGTTAAAAAGCCATCCGTCCAAAGGGTGAAAGCAGGAGACATGGAGCCTGAGAGAGTAATGAGCTAATCTCAGTATATTTCAAAGAATCTCTCCACCTCACCTGCACTGAATGAATAGGGCAACAAGAAGACAAACGACCGGGAAACAAATGTGAAACAAAAATAGAAGAGGAAACAAGGACTGAGGGGGAGAAAACAACAAAAATGAAATGAGAAAGTTTGTAATGGAGGTGAAGAGGGAGAGACAGAGAGGGGAACGCCCTAATGTATCATGCAATGAATCACAGTCATGAGCAATGACAGGATGAAAGCCCAGGCAGGGGGGGGTACGGAGATAAAGACAGGGCAACAGTGAAGGTCACAGAGATGGTGCAGCTCCACCTAGATCCAGCCTGTCTCTGTACAGTTTAATAGACTTTCTCATGATAGGGAAAGGACAGGAACAAGAAAGGAGCGGTTGTTCACTAAATACATTACATACTACAACGATATTGTTGCTGCATACAAAAGGAAAAATCCAAGAAAAAAAACTGAACAATGGCAAATTGTTATTCGTCTAAATTCTCCATGAGCTCACTTCACAGCTATTGCAAAAATCATACCACTCCTAACCATATATAATTATCTTTACATTTAAAACAGACCAGATCCAAGCACTAGCCGTACTGATTTATTCTCCACTCTCAATGTGTCTTTCCTATTACGCCTTTGTATCTTTGATCCCCATATTGTTTTTTCAAAAGTTGTCTCCCTGTCTCTTGACCTTTTAAAAAGCCACATCCTGGAAATTTTTCTGTAATAGGTATCAATCTTGTGATTCAAAGTGTTTAAATCAGATACATCCATTTACCAGAAGTCTGCCTTTTTTGCACGTAGGTATGAGAGCCTCAAATACGTTTTTTTTTTCTTCTCAGACTGGGCCAAGATATTGTTTGGCTGTTGATGTTTTGGTTAACAAAAAACAATACAGCACACTCGAAAGTATGTATGGGTAACATTTGAGCTAAGCTTTGACCCTAATTTCTAAATTAAACTCCCATTTTCTTATCTTGTGTTTTTGTGTGTCTTTATAGCCCATCACAATGAGATTACCTTGGTCCTTTAATATGTGCGTCTACCTGTTTTTACCTATGTCTGCATATTTTCTT